CGGCGCGGAAGCTCGAGGCTGCCTGGCCGCGACGCTGGCCTGCGCCTGTCGGGCTCAAGAGACGATTTGGGGCTTCGGCTGCTTCTTTGGGTGGCCTGAAAGGCAGGAGGGCGGTTTTTAACGCTCTGGTGTCCCGTCCCATCCCGCGCTCTGGCGTAGGCGCACGCTGGCCGCTCTGCGTTACGTTACGCGGGCGGCAAGCGTGAAGGTTTCTGCAGTTTATGTTCTTCTCACGGGTGGATTGCTTGAGCGAGGTTAAGGGAAAGGAGAATCTTGGGGGAGAAAAAGCCGGGGTTTCGAGAGGTTTCTGAAATGGTGGTATCGCAAGGGCTTAGGTACGAGCGTAAAAAATAAAAATAAAAAATCACCGCAGCATTTCATATAGTTTTTCAGCATAGGCAAAATACTGTGATTTAATCATTCTGGGGGAAATAATTTTTTTTTTTAATAAGAACGAAAGCTTGCTGTTTTGGTTAGGACGTTTAAATTTCTTCTTTTTGGAGGTTCTCCAGACAAATTACAAAAACCTGATATTTTTCATTCTTAAAAATAAGCCAGAAACGCAAAGGCTTTTACAAGCCAGGTCATCTTGGCAGCGTTAGCTGAGGGTGCCCGTGGACCACTCGTGGACCCCCCGAGGCCCTGCTGGTGCTGGCAGCCCTGCTCCTCCCGCCGACAGCCTTCGTTTGCTGACGAGTCAGTCGAAGAAGAAAAAAAGCCACTGTTCTCTCTGCAGCTTGTCTGAGTTGATGTAGAATTGGTTGGGTTTTTTTGGTAAAGAAATACTAATTACTTATTTATGTGTGTGTTTATTTTAGGGATAGACTTCAAGATCAAAACCGTTGAGTTGCAAGGCAAGAAGATCAAGCTGCAGATCTGGTGAGTAGCGTTCGCCAGCGGCTGCGGGGCGGCATCCTGCTCGATGGCCGCGTTCAGCCGCAGGTTTTCGTGAGCAGAGCTTGCTCTTTCTGAGATGACCTTCAGGTATCTGATTTTGGGACGGCGTTTTGTGTTTTCGGGGGTGGTAGAGCTCCGTGTGTATTCCCCTGAACTATTTTTAAGAGCTGGGGGAGAGATCTGCGTGGTGCGTTTGTAACCGCTGGTACCGGCTGCTCCCTGGGCAGGCTGTTGGCAGATCTCCTGCTTGGGAGGACAGGATCCTCGCAGTCTGTGATTTAGTGGGAAGTGTTTTAAAACCGGAATCTTTAAATTAGGAGTTGCCTCGAATCTGTGACTATAAATTGACTAGTAGCCTTGCTTTGTGTCAGCAGAAAGTGTAAGCTACATCTGTGCTTAGTTCATGTTTTTCCACAGTAAACTGTGGAGAGTTTCTCAGCTCTCTGAAAACGTGGCTGCTTTTCTGTAGGAAAGTCTAACGTGAGGCAAAACATAAACTCTTCCCTTCTAATGTCCTGTGCATGTCTAACGGGAGATTTTTCTGCTGTTCTGATAGCCCTGTACAAGTCGGGTCAGGAGAGCTAACGGCTTTTCCCAGCCTGTGTGTGTGTTAGACTCCCTCCTCAACCACGTACATGCGTTGCTGGTGCGTTCTCCAGCTCTACTGAGAGTTCAGAACTTGACTTTGTTTAGAGCTTGAATGAATTTGCCCTTGTTGTTCCCCACTAATAAAAAAAAAAACCTTCTATGGCTTGATAGTGTTGATGTTTGTAGATGCAGATGGATGAGTTCCAGTGAGCGAGGCGGCGCTGGTCATAGAATCATAGAACAGAATGGCTTGGGTTGGAAGGGACCTTAAACCTCATCTGGTTCCAACCCCCTGCCATCAGCAGGGACATCTTCCACCAGACCCCAATATCTCATCTCAATCTGCCCTCTGTTAGTTTAGAGCCGTTCCCCCTTGTCCTATCACTGCACCCCCTTGTGCAAAGCCCCTCTCCATCCTTCCTGTAGCCCCTTCAGGCACTGGCAGCTGCTCTAAGGTCCCCCCGGAGCCTTCTCTTCTCCAGGCTGAACAGCCCCAGCTCCCTCAGCCTGTCCTCGGAGGAGAGGTGCTCCAGCCCAGAGGTCTTCCTCTGCCTGAGTGATTATCCTTCCTAATGGATGTGCCCTGAATCCTTCTGCTTACCATCGCTCTGAGCATCCACTTTCTCTCTCCGTTGTTTCTCATCTCCCAGTCCTGCAAGCGCAAGTTGGCCAACTTAGTTCTTCTGGTTGGTGCCCTGCAAGGGAGGGAGTTGTCGAAGTTGATTTTGCTGTTTAAACTCTGTCACCGGTCGATGAGGAAGCACTTGGATGCTGACATAACTTGGCACGCTGGAATGCTTCAGTGGGGAGCTGCCAAGGGGTGACCATCTTGGTGAGGACGGTGTGCTAGGTGCAGCTCTCTGAGTGGGGTGGGTATGGATCAGCTGGGAGCCCAGAGCGGAGCCATGGAAAGGAGGGGACCGAGAGCATCAGCCGAAGAGGCGTTGAGGTGTAAGGCAGCTTCACTGCTGGACTGGCTGGGCAGCTCGTGCTGGAGGAGTCCACCGGGCTGTTAACGTTCAGATTTTCAGCCCAGAGCAAATCATAACTGCTAACAGTTGTTGTGTGTTGTATTTTTTACCCCAGCAGGGTGGGTGCTGCGGATTCCCGTGGGGTAGAAAGGGAGAACACAACATTGGAATGACTTCAAGGAAGTGTTAGATTAAACTTAGGAAAATTTGTCCTGAAATGTAAAAACTGAAAATATGGAAAAATGAGGATGCTTAATGTGTGTGTAGACAAAGCAGCAGGCCATGATGAAGCCGTACGCGTTGTGGGTTTGAGTGGCTCAGGGAAATGGAGAGGGGTTTCTGGGAGCTGAGTTCTGTGCAGTTGTCACTCGTAGATGTTGCAAAGTTGGGAAGTCATTGCCTGAGTCTGCTTCCTGCCAGTTTAACATTTCATGTTTGAAAAGCAACTTGGAAAGCAGAAAACGAAGTTCCTGTGGCATGCACTTTTGATACAATAATATAAAAAAAAAGAAATCTAGGCTTTGTCGTTGCCAGCTTCTCCTGTACGAGGAGTTTTGCCCAGCAGTGGTTTGGTGGCCAGGACAGCAGTGCCTTTTGGTGAACATACTCTGTGCAGTGCATCTATATTTAACCACCGCTTCCTGAGTCTAAACCCCCCCTGTCCTAGGAGTTGTCATGCGTCTC